GGGCCCCGGGCACCCGCCATGGCGCGGAGAGCGGCCGTGAGGGAGCGGGCGGGCGCCGGGACGAAGGGGCAGTAGGCCCCCAGGGGAGGGCCGGGGCGGCGGGCGGTCTCCCCTCGTCGCGGAGCGCCCGTGGCGAGGCCGTGCGCTCTGGTGTTCGCCCTGAGGGGCCCCGAGAAGCCGGTAGCGGTCAGTAGGTGAGTGACTTGCCTGTGAGGGACGAGGCTACCCACCGAAGGCGGCTCAGGCTATTCGTGTTCATAAAGCTACGTTTGGGGGAGTTGTGCCCTTCACTGAGAGGGAAAGAGATGTTGGGCATTAAATACCCTACAGCGATTTTACAGTTCAATTAGCAATAATGGAAGCTTGCCGCAAGAGAGCTTCATTTTTGAAACAACCCTCAGAGCTGGTAACCTTTCAGTGTTGTTGCCGCCACATATGTTGGGAGCGTGTACAGCAGTGGGTGTATCGCAGTGTGTAGCGGCGTTCTCCATCCATTTAAAGGTTATTTGGAGAGGATGTTGTTGAACATTAATATTTCTTCTGGTATTTTGGAGTGTAAAAAAAAAAGTGTTGATCTAATTAGAGAAGCTAGATTTATGTATGGTAGTGTGTTCTTCTACTATGTTAAGTACTACCTTTCTTTCTCTTTAGCAGTGGGCTACTTTTGCCAGAGCCTGGTATCTCCTCGATGCAAAGATGCAACCACCAGGAAAAATAGCAGCTGCGACTGTAATCAGACTTGAAGGCAGGCATAAACCTATTTATCATGCATTAAGTGAGTATTGCAATAGATAAAAGCAAATGTGCTTTCTTTCACTTGTATTTTTCTTCTGATCTCAGTTTTAAAATCAAGCCTGACATATAAGGTTACATTTTTCTATTGTTTGTAAATTATAAATGTCTTTGTTTTCCTTCTCATCTTTTGCCTTCATACCCATCTACAACCTTATGTCGTTGTCTTTACCAATCAATATAAAGCTCGTTATGAATTCAGAATTTATTTTTAGTTGCTGAATTACAGTGCTTTCATTTTCTTAAAACCTTGAAATGTGTTTCATTGCATTGACTTTAGATGTAAAGATTTAATTCACAGTGCATGTGATGAAACACTGGTGAGATTCTTGATTAGATTTTCTGAATGCTACCTTTCAGTAGCTGCACAACACCACAGAGTCTTGGAGTGGTTCTTCATTGTGAATAAGATGCAGAGAAGTCCTGTCTTCATGAGGCAACAGGCACAAACTGAAACACAGGAGGTTCCCTCTGAACGTCGGGAAACATTTTTTTTACTGTGAGGGTGACTGGAAGTGGTTGCCCAAGAGGTTGTGGAGTCTCCATCCTTGGAGGTATTTGAAAGCTGGTCCTGCTTGAGCAGGGGGGCTGCACAGCATGACCTTCAGAGGTCCCTTCCAACCTCAGACATTCTGTGATGATGAGGCTGGAACCTGTCTGATTCTTAAATGGGAGACAGAATCATTGTTGAAAGTTATCTTCTTGTTTAAATGAAAAAATCATTTTGCTTTTCTGCAAATTAGAAGATTCAGCAGTAAAGATAGATTTATCTGTGATCTTATTCATTATTTGTAATACTGTAGTGCCTGTCTTGCAGTAATAAGCATTTTATAGGTAATAAAAAGATGATCCCTCATACTGATGGTGCAATGTTTCCTGTAATGCTCATGCAAATTTTTCAAGAGACATTACTGAAACATAAGGGAGGCATTAAACTTTGCTCATACATGTAGAGTGTACATACTAAAATTACACTTGATCTGTTTTTCATAATAGAAGGTAGTATTTGTACTGTCCTAAAGATGTTTTAAATACCAGTTCTGTTGTTGCAAATTATGTCATATCCACAAGATGTCACTGGAGACTAAGGCTGTCTGAAAAATAAAGCAGACACGGAGAGAAAATGTTTGTGGTTGTCCTGTGGGAAAGATCTTTGATACTTTTATGTCCATGAAGTTATAAAATCCTGGAAAGTCATTTCATGGATAAATTTATTTGGTCTAAAGTATTCTATAAATCAGTACCAAATGCATTACACCTGAGATTGACATTGATAGGTTACTACTACTGAGAGACATTTGATAGTCTCTAAGAGAGCAAAGTATGCATGAATTTGTGGTTGGTGTACTTAACATTTCTTTTTTTCCTTTTTTTTTTTTTTCCTCTGGACAAACAAGAAATATTTTCGTGTCTGTGAGATAACAGTTCCTTAGACAGAATAATATTGTGGGGATTTTTTGTTTTGGTTTGTTTTTAATTTGGTATCCAGATATCCTTGCATAAAATCGTCATTTATTTATTGTGTTGAAAAGTATCTGGAGCTGAATTTAAGGTGTGGTTAGGGAAGGTAAGAAATTTGCTTTCATGTGTATTTATTTTCTGGTTTAGGGATAATCTTTCATTATTCTCCAGAGTCTCATATTTTTAGATGCCGTCAGTCCATATGCCTTAAATAAGGGGATACAACCTTGTTCAGGAGGTTTGAATCTGGATTTTTAGGTTTCTTCTGCACCTCCCCTTCTCTCTACCCTCATCCTCTTGCATCGTATCTTTGTGAGCAGCTTCACAATACAGAACCAAAAATAGCGGGCCAAATTTTTAAAAAATTGGGTGATCTGGTTCTTTATGTTGGATTGTGAGCAGGTGTAGGTGAGCCACTTCTTTGCTTGGGTAGAATTTGCTGCTGTTCTCTGCATCCTCAAAGGAGAAGACTAGGCTGGATGGAAGTGTCCCGCAAACCCGATCTGGCCCAGGTGTTACTCTAGATTGCAATGTTAGTTTATAATGGCTAGAAGAAGCAGCAAAGACTTGTCTTCTAATGAAAGATTTGGCAAGTAGTTTGTCAGTCTTGTGAGCTAACAGTTGACAATATGATGCCTACTTTAAATTACTATTTAGTCCTTAATTAAAATGTAGGAGGAAAAATGCCTGTATCTGAAGCATGGTTTTTTTACCGTGCGACAGGAATTGATGAAGTTATAAACGTACAGAGATATAAAATGACAGCTTAGTTTTATCTGAAGAGGTGCAATGTATACGCTGTATGTAACAAATTGGATATACCGTAATGTAATAGAATATACTGGCCTTGTTTTCATGTATTTCTTGAGGAGGACATACTTACGTGCTTCATAAAAGAATAATTCGGTGTTATGGCATTAAAATGGCCTAAAGGAAGGCATGATATTTTGTGAATATTTTTCAAAAGTAGGATGCAATTTGACTGAATATTTTTGCTTTCTTCCTATTAAGTGCAGCCATCCCTTGAGGTGATGGAAACGACACTGTTTAAAGACCAGTGGAAAATAATGTATTAATTTGAAATTTTGAAGGAGACATTAGCTATCCATAAATTCAATCTCCCTTAAAAAGAACAGGTTGTAGTCATTATTCAGGTAGCCTGTAAGTATCCTGGTTAGTTTTTCTCCTGGCTCTGAATTGTTCATAGTTGATCTATTGGTGTATGGAATTGTTAATTCAGTGTTTATTCAAGTGGAGAACTGTTGACAAAAATTTCCTGAGATGAGCTTATTCTGTCATCTTCCCAACTAAAAAAAAAAAAGGCACAAAGTCCAATGTCAGTTCTTAGAACTGACCTGTCAGTGGTAAAAGGCTGCATCAGTGAAGATGTTTAAATTGTGTTTGCACTTTAGCTGTAGTTGAAAGTAGAGCTTTAAAAGAACACAAGATTAAAAAATGGTAGAAAACTTAAATAGGGTGTGAAACTTGCATTGATTAATTATATGCTCCTATAAAAAAATGCATGCTCAATTGAAGTCCTTTTTAGTGTAGCTGCTTTCTTACCTACTCAAAAATGTTTCAATCAAATGAGCCTCTTCAAATACTTACGTTGTTCTAATATGGTAATGCATATGAGAGTGAACTTTGGACAAATCATTTTCCAATTGATTGAATGGGTGGTTATTGCTTATACAGCAATAATCAAGATGATTACTTCTGCAATGAAAAACTACATCTTTCTTCATGTTTTCATCATATTTTTGAGATGGTATGGGTTTTATTAGCACTTTATTACTTCAAATACTTACGTTGTTCTAATATGGTAATGCATATGAGAGTGAACTTTGGACAAATCATTTTCCAATTGATTGAATGGGTGGTTATTGCTTATACAGCAATAATCAAGATGATTACTTCTGCAATGAAAAACTACATCTTTCTTCATGTTTTCATCATATTTTTGAGATGGTATGGGTTTTATTAGCACTTTATTAGTAAAGAATATCTATTAAAGAAACTGTTTCTGGCAAGGTATTGGTGATAGACTATAGACCTTGCACTTAAATACTTTTGATGTGAAAGTTGCCGATATAACACTAAACATACCATATGTGCTGTAACATTCACTTCTGCTTGATTGATGAAAATGCCTTTTTTCCCAACAGAGCTGTTTTAAGTTTTTTGTGGGGCTTTTCTCGCCCCCCTCCCATCTTTTTGTTTCTTTTATATATTTAGCTCTAGGCTGTAATTATTTAATAGAATTATTTTACTTACTTATTTATTTTTAAATATAAAAAT